TGTTAGCGTTAACTAATAATTCTTGGGGATAAAACGTGGGGGATAAAACGTCTTGCGTCTTCCTAGTGTAGACTTTAATATATACACGTATTTATTCTCACAAATTAACAAAAAAATCTATACAGATTCCAAAAATTTAAAAACAATTTGAATCTTACAGTTGAAATATTAACTTTATAATTTTTTCAAATATTGGATCGACCGAGTCATCTGTTCAATGAATATTTATTTCTTAATTTCTTATTTCAAAGCATTCTTATCCGATATTAAAATCTATGATTGCGTCTAAATAGTCAATTAGAAAACACATTGATTATTGAAGAATTAATTTTCAGCTGACTTAGAATATCAATTCAATGAAACACATCAATTGGAGATAGTGTTGCTTAGTATTGTGTTCAAATCGGTTGAACGATTACTTTTTAACAACTAAAGCTATTATTTTCAAATCGATATCCAAAAGTTCATGCAATCTGTACAAAAGCAAGTCACTTACAACTAGATGTTATTTAAATTTCATTAAAAAATGTATGTATATTACCATTCAAGTTATGTGGCGTGCGATTTTCTCGATGGAGAGCGCTGCCTTAAAAAAGCTCTCTAACTTATCGAAGTTTTCTACAATATGTCGGTACAAAGTTCGGGGTGTTGCTGGTCTAAAATTATTCAAGAAAACCACCCTACGACGTTAAGCAAACTGTAGAATCATATGTGTTAGTGGGAATTACAACCTAAAGTTTCTAGGGTAAAATATTGGTTTAGATACGAGCTAAAAGCTGAGCTTTTGAAGCTGCAGATGGAGATCTAAACTTAAAAGCCACATGGAATATACTGATACTTGTTGCAAGTTTCGGACTCTAATCTGGAATATTTACCAAACATTGAATACGATGCCTTAAATATTTTTTTAATTTTTGGTTATGATTTAATTTTTGCGCACCTATGACAGTATTATCGATTTGATAATAAATTTTGATTTTTTCCATATTTTTTTTTATTTATATATATATATATATATATATATATATATATACATTATTTTCATATCTCAGACAGACAGAAGTGCCTGGTATGAGAGATTATGAAAACAGTTTTCATATAAGTTTCCATAAACCTTGTAATATTCATTTTGTCAGAACATCACGTATCATTGCAATTTTAAGGAAAAACATTTCGAATGATTTATTTTTTTCAACATTATAATTCAGAAGTCATATTTTACTAATCCTCTACTGTTTTAGTTATTGTAGCATTTATCATTTGTCACACAATTAAATATAAATATTTGTTTTGCAACACAAAAGTGTAATATCACATTCTCTAAACTAAATTTATTTTTCAATATTCATTAGTAGTCTAGTCATTTAAACTTAAATTGGATAAGAATGTTGAAATTCGAGATACCCAGCTGTAAGTCTGCAAATACTGTATATTGATACCCTAAAAGTTGTCTCAAAACCTACATATAAATATTTTGCTATCTGTATATATTATCCCATAACGTTTTTCGTATGCTAATACTAAATAAAAAGTCGGAATATTCCACTTTTGAAATATATTCAAAAGGGCGAATCATGTATTCAAGTCGGCTTATGAAGTTCTCAAAAATATCAATATGTCAATATCAGAAATTCGTATGGCATAAAGGTTTCATATCATCAGTCACACGTATTCTAAGCCGTCATAATCCGTGTTCACTCGCCTGATAGAATCGATACAATGTAATAGATAGCAAATCCGCTGACGCGAATTACGTTCAATCCATATTGAATTAGATATATCCATATCCATTGCAAAATTCAGGTAGCTAATAATTGTTACAGTATCTGTCAATTTATATTTCGTACAATAATAATGATAATGATAATGATAAATGATCTCTCTTGAGCAAGACGTAGGGTTTCAATGTTTAGCCTACCAAAAGGCTGATTATGATATTAATCGTTTGTGAAATCAATTTTCACTTTGCACATGTAAATCACAAATCACTTTCAGTGAAAAATGCTTTTTTGGGCATTATAGAAAAAGTTAAATTATCATCGCAAATTTAAGTGAAAAGAGAAAACCAAGAGGTTTTCTTACATCAAAATCTATTAAAAAAAACTTTTGGGATGGCTTCGATACATTATTTATATAATAGACATCACAAATCAATCATTTTAACAGTTTATAGTATACCAAAATAAATTATTAAAATTGAAAAAAAAAGTTAAATTTCATTCATCTAGGCTATATGTGGTTGATGAACCGAATACATTAGTTACATTCATTTCATAAAGGGTATGGGCGTATTTCCATACAGAATCGGCCCCATCCTGGTATGTAAATAATTTTGATGCCATTTAATAGATATTTTCGAGAAAATCCGACATACCAAATTTCAAATCCGTAGCTCATCATTTGGCCCAGATATCATTGAAAATATGTGAAAGTGGCCCCTTTTTTCAAAGTCGTTTTTTGTCGGAACTGTGAAAGATATCAAAAAACAAATAAAGGGATTATATTCATATCGATGTGTACTATATTTTTTAATAACAAATATTGTTTAATAATTATTTTTTAGTGCAAGAAAAAGTAAAAATAATTTTTTGTTTTGAATTTTTGGGTAGTGCGGTTGTTTGGACTAACTTTTAATTGGTATCATTAGAAAGGCTATTCAATTTTCTTATAGTGTCCAAAATTTTGTTTTATTTCATATGATCAACGTAGTGTATAAATGAATGTCGTGTAGAAAAAAATTATAATTAAAAAAATAATCTCAATGTAAATTTTTTTATAAAATATATATACCAACGATAGTATTTTAGCTTTATCAGCCAAAGCTTGTAAATGGCCTTTTGATATCATAACAAAGTAATTTCCGATCACATTAAAGCGAGATGTTCAAAGTAGGTTAGAATAGCTAAAAGTTTATTGTGTTGAGCTAGCATACAAGTACACAAAATTTCCATCAGAATTAGTTCGAAAACTTTCTTCCACAATATGGTGAGCTCTAGCGTATTATTATCATAAAACTTTGTGCCCGCTAAATTGTTCGAGGTAAATAATAATATGGAGTGATTATATAATTAAACGCAGATTAAGCGTATTATAATTATTTGTAGTTATCAATGTTGCCAAACTATTTCATTGAAATCTTACTCTATTTGTAAGAAATGCTAAAGAGACATTAATAATTTGAAGTAATTTTAAAAGTCAAGTGAAGTTCGTGACAGAAAATCGCTTAATTAAAATACGGTTTTATAGTTATTGCAATACATGCAATATTTTCAACAATAGTGAAAAAGTGCAGAATGTCGGGTATCATTTAACTACGTAGTTCAAAGCTATGTGAGGCATAACATTATTTTGTATTACAAACGAGTTTTAAAGATTGTTTGCGCCAGAATCTGTTAGATGTCGCCAGAGAATATTTTTAATATTCAGACAACACTTTTTCTCTGGCAATCCTCAAAGGTTGGGACGTAATAGCTGATCTGACGGGTGAACAAGTTTCTCTCGCGTTGGCTGGTCACGTACACCGTTTTACTTGTACTTTCCATATGTGTTTTTGTGATATATTTCGATCATTAGTTATTGTTTAATGAAATAAATACCTTTTAATCAGTGCAAGTGTTCCTTATTTGTGTTTGGAGTTCATTTCTTCCTCAGCATCCGAATTTAAAGCGAACTGAGATATCCGAACTTGAAGCCGCCATCCGACTGGACCGCCGAGCACGTAGAGAACGTCAAATATTTTGCTTGATATATTCAATAAGATCAAATCCTCGGAATAGTTATTGAGTAAAATCCAATTAGCTATTCCGAAAGGGTCTAACTAACCCCCATCCGTAACAAAGATCTTGGGGTCGATTCTGCTATAACCTAGAGTCTAGGTTTCCAAACTTGTTTGTGCCGTGGACCCTTTGCAATGTTTTTTGTTTTGTTATGGACCCCTACATTAAAGTGACCACACGTATCGGTTTTTATAAAATCAAAAAGTATAAGTTTAAATCGATTTTTTTAGTACAATTTGCACTTTGCCACAAAATTCAGCTATCATCTCATCATTTGGTGAAAGTTTCTTCACAGTTTCTTATCCTTTTGAGATCTGGGATCGGTATATGGTCGCAGAGGAACAGATTTAGAGAATATGGTAAAAGGGGAAGCAATTCAGAGCCCAATTCATATTTTTCTTCTTTTTATTTTCTGTGACCAAAATTTGAAGTTGGCCATTCAATAGTTTTTCAGATATGCAAAGTTGATGGGTGGCTGGATCCGCTCTCAATACTGGTATTGAAACAGATTGTACGTTCTCAAAGATGCATAATTCGATTTTGATGAAACTTGACATACATTGCTACTGCACTTTATTAAATATTTGACAAAAATTTAAAGTTGGAAAATTCAATAGTTTCTAAGATATACGAGGTTGATGTGTGGCTGGCTCCGCTCTCAATACTGGTATTGAAACAGATTGTACGTTTTCAAAAATGCATAATTCGATTTTGATAAAACTTAACACACATTGTTACTATACTATACCAAGATTGTGACCGAAGTTTAAAGTTGGAAAACTCAATAGTTTCTAAGATATGCGAGGTTGATGTGTGGCTGGCTCCGCGCTCAATACTAACATTTAAAGTTTAAATCATTTCTAAATATGCCGTGGACCTCCATTTTTATTTCGTGGACCCCCAAATTTTGTTTTCCCTGCCGTAGACCCCTTGAAATTGGTCCTGGGGGTCCACGTGGACCACTTTGGGAATCACGTCCTAGACGATAAGCATTGGCAAACAAATCCAGAAATAATGTTATCATAAATGCCTCCTTGTGATGCGCATTTAAAACATATGGTTTTACATCGTAAACCAAATAGATTGCATTTTTAAAGTTTTTAGTACTAATAAAGAAGTAAAAGAATTGGTCCCTATAAAAATTTTATTATGATCTCTCTCAGTAGAATATGCGTTAGGTTCAACTAATATCTTTTTATATCTAAATCTAAACTATCCACTTACATGATGTCTCCCAACTTGATCCTGGTCTGAATGAGCGCGCAGGATTTATGGTCGCTCGTGGTGACCGCCCTCCGTCGGCTGCGAGTCGCCAGTCTGGCAGCCATCGCGGCCTCCGCGAGAGCGTCACCGCCAGCACCGCCGGCGGCAAAGGATAACCTCACCGCCGGCGAAGAGCCGCGACGCCGCCCCGACATGTGTCGGCCGCCGACGCTGCCCAGCATCGCGCTGCAAAAAATGTTTTCATTAATTAATTTGTTTATTAGACAATCAAAAAATGCAATAATTTTCTATAAGTTATTATGATGTATTCTTAGGCCAATTAAGAAACTTCTCCTTTGAGAAGTTCTCCTAGTAGATAATTATGTAAGGGTATAATTTGTTTTGAGTGATTAGGTTTTAAGGCTATTATATATGTTATGATTCACAATATAAATATTATTTCAATGTAATTATTCGAGATATTTTTTCTTAAATATATAAAAAATATTGAACTTATGTTTATTTATAAACATACTGTGATTAGGTCTTCAAACCATTACAGATGTTAAGATTCACAATATATTATTCTAATGTAATTGTGTGAGATATTTTTTCTAAAATATTGAACAACTGTTTATTTGTAAACATACTTTAGGAATATTTTATTACTTGTTTCAACAGATGGTATTATCTTTATGTCAGCTATGGTGGAATATAAAATCTTATTCGCAGCTTTAAGAGAGCAAATAAACTACTTTTTATAATTTGCTGAACAAAATAAACTGACATTTGATGTCTACGCTGGATGAACTTTTATTATGATTAAAAGTCTTTTTTGAAATATCTGCATTTTTAGAGAATACTCAAATAATGCTGGGTTACATATTTGAACAAATATGGTCATGGTCATGGTCATAAAATGTTCAACGCAGTATTTCCTAGTTGATATACATACACACGCACACACACACATATTATATATATATATATATATATATATATATATATATATATATATATTTAACAAAGTCTAATAATCGGGCATAACATCAATAAAAAACATGAATTTCTTTCAAAAATTTATTTTAAATCCATACGTTTCGGCTATAATCCTAGCCTTCATTCAGTGGAAAAATTAGTTGATCTTAGTGTTAAATTGGAAAATTTTAATAATCCATGGTATTAGGATATGGTAATGCACTACACTATGTATTATAAACATTAACTTGAAATTACAACAATATTTTCACAAAATACTGATTTGAAAAAATCACAAATGGATAGTGTGTTATTCGTAGACTGGTTGAAGATATCTTTAACCATTCACATACATATATATCATATATATATATATATATATATATATATATATATATGTATGTGAGGGGCTTGAAGGTCCGCGGTTATAAAACCGATATTTCGAAAACAAGTAATGTTAAGATTTTTTTCAAGAATCAAGCCATCACCTTGATTCTTACGACGTCGCTATCAGGACATAATCGGTAATTCATAACAGAAGTATTTTCTTTCGTTGTTAGTTTTTCTTGGTTGTGAGCACTCTTGTTTAGTTGACGAGATCTTAATAGAATTTTTAAGCATAATTTATTTAACTGTTTTGAAAGATGTATTGTTGATTTTAAGTTAGGTTCATCAGTTTTTTTTATATAACCTCTATAAAAGCTTATACGTGGGTGGGGTAAATGGACCAACTGAACCTTTTCTCTGGCAAAGGTATAAACAATAAAAAATAGTAAATAAAATAATTAAAAAAGCAGTTTTGCAGGAGATAAATTAAATAAATAGTTATTCCAACTCTGCTGATGAAATTTTTGAAGAACAGCAAAAAAAAAACATTACTACATTGATGAACTAGCTGGGATATTTATTGAATACAGTCAGATAGTGGTTTGTTTGACATGTGCCATTTGTTGCGATAAAACTTGTTTGGTTTTAACAATATAATTGCTCAAAGTCAAATTGGATTTTTGTATTATTTTTAATAAAAAAAAAGTCATTACACATATTACATTATTTATTTCTGATTATTAACAAAAATATGATAATTGTTAAGAATTGAAATATAATAAAAACAAAAAATTGATGAAACTCTAATAAAGTAGGAGGACAAGGAATAAAATTCTGCATTATTCATTATATTTTTATCTGTGAATAACAGCTTAACTTTGTGACAACCTGTAGTCGCGATGAAGCATTGAAACTCAGAAAATGCTTCCAAACTTTTTTAATTAATTTAAAAGATGAAAAAAGTCAACTACAATGAAACGACTAAGCCTATCTTCAAATACTCATAAATTTCTATACCTAACGCATATGTTCAGAATCGATTTAACCCTTTTTGAATAAGTTTCTCTCATAAACAAACTCACATTTTCATATAAAAGTAATTTTTCTTTTACCGCGAGTTGAATATAAAACTTTTGTTTTTCTCTAGATTTAGTTATCTGAAGAATACTTATTACCATTTAATATTTCTCTCAACTCTGCTAAGTTTTTACATATAATCATGTTTATTTTACAAGTTCGCATTCGCAGATCATCTGTAATAAAATTTTAATATCTCTATTTTCTTGTTTCTTTTTGCTCGACTATTTCTCGACTGTAATTTCATTATAAAACTTTCATGTGGTACACAGATAAAGGAGTTGAAAATCAATACCTAATATGAGATTACTTTGCAAAATGTGTAATAATAAAAGCAAAACTTTTAATATAATATATGCGCCGGTGTACGCTATGGGACTCCTTCAAGTTTATGCAAATGCATGTATAACATTGCTTATTCATCGTTTGTAAGAATATATGGTAAAGCTTGAATATATTACTGGTTTGTAAACATATTATTCTCAGATAAACATGAAAATAAAACTGTTGTAGGTGGGTAGTAATCTCATATCGAATAATTTTCAAATGGAAAAGAGGATGAAGTTCGAAAACAATTTTAAGTTAAATGCATTGAATCGAAATATGATGTAAAGAAATCTATTGATGCACTTTTATTTATTAAAAGTAGTAGCGCATAATGTTGCACTTAACTGAAAGTCACTTTACTCAAGTCAAAAAATCACTTTTCTTATATTCATCCAGTATGAATAAAATTAATAACGAATTTATATAATTAGAATTTCAATATTTAAGTGATAATTTATATATTATTATATAGATTACTATATGAGACTTGATAAAATTTGGTATGATGGAATTAATTTATTAGCATAGATTTTTGAAGTAACGAATGTTTGATTTCTATAAATTTACATCTCCAATTACATTTGTGAACAAAATACCATAAATTCCCATTCTAGATTAAAATATTGAAAAGTCACTTGAAACTTTCTCATATATACTCATTGCTCAAGTAAAATTAATGGCCATAGAAGTTACAAATGGTTACATGTGAAATATGGAAACATAACTTAAATAGGATTTCAAACTTGTACAAACTAATTCCATATATGCAATAATTTGAATTTCGAGTACGTCGTTATTATTAAATAAAATTATATTATGCAAGTACATTTAATATTAACATTCATATACGAATTGTTTAATAATTGTATAATTTATTTTTTATAATATCATTAGATAAAATTATTATTATAATCACAAATAATATATTTATATCCATATTTATATAATGTAATGTTTTTGGTTTTAGTTATATATACTTACATCTCACAACTATTTATAAATATAATACACAATTAAAAAATAAAAATTGAATATGATATCTCTACTATATAATATAAATTTCGTTCTTCTATACGTATTGGATCATTTTTTTTAAAGATTAAGTTAATTTTCAATTCTGATCTGATCAAAGTTTTCAGAAGCAAAAATTTTTGAGTAAAAATATTTTATAAATTGAAGAAGTTTCGAGAATTTTGCTTAAATGTATCATTATACAGTTATTGTGGTTAATTTTTATAAATTTTGTTTGTTTAAACTTTGGAATCGCAACAGTGAATAATTGTTTTGGCTCAACCTTAAGTTTTGGGGCACCCTATACATTTTTAGACATGCATTGAAATGTAACAGCTTAACAGCCGTTTAATAAAACTTAACAATGACTTGCATTGAATATTGTAACTGAATGGTGCAGTTAACTGAAAGAAATTTGGGCAATATTTTTGCAAAAAAATTCGAACAGTTAAATTAAAACATAAATGCTTACAGAGTTATAGCAAATTTCCTTATATATTATAGGTGAAAATGGTTATTGAAACAACTTACGGATATATACAGATAATTGTAAATTGTAAACTCCACAAATTCATTAAATGTCCTTGACTAGACAGTTGTAAATAAAATAGAGAATAAAAAAAATACAGATAATGATTATCATTTACACATGCGCATACTTCAGCGTTCATTTATCTAAAATATTCTTGACCCAAATTTGCCTATTTATACAAAAAATGTTTAGTATGAACATATTGAATTTATGAATTCAATCAACAGCCGACGCAATCAAACTTCAATTATTAATATCCAATAGTTTGTCCAACATACCTTGGCTTAAAGCAAGATGACACATGCACCACGTTTATATCTATGTTCTACAAATTCAAACTGACATACTGGAGAACACATATGTATTTACTATCTGCATAAAGCCATAATGTCGTATCAAAAATAACTAAACCTGAAACTTGACGCCTGAATCTAATTTAATATTCGCGAAATTAGTGAACGTTGTAGAATGCTGTTGAAAGCGTTCATCTGAAAGCTGCTATTGTGCGTACGCCGAGCTTTCGGATTGTGCTTTATATGCAAAAGCGAAGCTTTACGTATGCAAGGATGATGATTTGCCAGGTAATAATAAAGAGGCCCCATTCACAAAGGTACAGCTTCCTTGAATATTATGCATAGATGAATTATTGATATTCCGTGATATTAATCCGATTCTAGCCTAACGTAAACGAAATTGAATTTTATAGAATCCATAGTGACTTTGATAGATAGATATTTCGATCTGTTAGAAGAATATTAGTCAATAGATTTTTTATAATTCTCAAGCTAGAATACAATGATTTTGTTTAGTAGATTTGTAGTAAGATCTTGAATGTAATAAAATTAGTTTAAATCATTAATTAACTTTAGAAAATTTTGATTACCAAATTATGTACTTGGCTGACCTTATCAAATAAGATATAATTATAAGTAATAAAATAAAATAAAACTGCTAAACATGATTTTGATATAGAAGCAAGCTGTATATTAA